TTTTTTTTGCATTTACACACTTTTGACCAGCAGGCGTCACCAGCGTGTGGTGTTTCCAGCGCTTCGAAACAGTGAATCATTTTGTGAATCAATTGGTTTAATTGATTTGAAGCTTCGAAGAGGTTAATTTCTCCCATCACTAGTGTGTGTGTGTGTGTGTGTGTGTGTGTGTCAGTGGAAGGTGCGGCGGACGCTGGCGTTCTCCATCCATGAGCTGGCTCTGATTCTGGGGGATCAGCTGACCGCTGCTCATCTGGTGCCCATCTTCAACAGCTTCCTGAAGGACCTGGACGAGGTTCGCATCGGCGTCCTCAAGCACCTCTACGACTTCCTCAAGGTCACAGATAGCACTGCGTGTTTCTCCTTTCTTTTTATTTCTCTCTTCTGTTGCTTTTTCCTTTTTTCTGTTCTCCTTTCTTTTTTTTATGCTCCATTTTATTTATCTTTTTTTTTTCTTCAATAATTTTTATCTATTTATTTTATTCTTTCATTTAATTTTTCATTTTTTTCTTGTTTTTTTTTCTGTCTGTCTTGGTTATTTACAGACTGTTTGATCAGTGGTTAGTAGGGCTGGGTAAAAAATATCGATATCTCGATTTTAATCGATTCTTAAATCCCAAGAATCGATTAGTCTAGCCTGTTTTCAGTTAATGGACGGAACATTGAAGGGCACTTCCCATCCAATAAATCACAATAAGCATTGTGCGTTGGTACTTTTAATATGAAACAAAGTCTCAGATTTCAGATTCTTTCCATTGTATTGCAGTATTCAAACAATAAATGTCGTTTTGGTGCTGTTTAATGTGGAGTGACAGATCGCTGTAGCGCCTCAGATCAACAGACGCGTGAACTGATCAGATCTCCTCCACATTAATACCAGCTTCAGCACAAAATAAACATGACTAAACATCCGGAGGTAAGTTAAAGAAAGAGTATAACTTTACAATCCGTATCCTGTCTCATGTAATCGCTCAATCAGTGTTTCAGCCGCGCAAAGACATCAATATAAAGTCTTTATATTTATATTAGCGATTTTTTTCCTTGAGAAAATGTGGCATGCACTGTACCTGATATGTGATGATGATGTGTGTGTTGTGTGTGTGATGATGGTGTGTGTGATGGTGATTATGATGGTGTGTGTGTGTGTGTGTGTGAGATGGTGATGATGGTATGATGGTGTGTGTGTGATGGTGTGTGTGATGGTGTGTGTGTGTGTGTGTGTGTGTGATGGTGATGATGTGTGTGTGTGTGATGGTGGTGGTGATGATGATGATGCTGGTGTGTGTGATGGTGATGATGGTGTGTGGGTGATGATGGTGTGTGGGTGATGATGGTGTGTGGGTGATGATGGTGTGTGGGTGATGATGGTGTGTGGGTGATGATGGTGTGTGGGTGATGATGGTGTGTGGGTGATGATGGTGTGTGGGTGATGATGGTGTGTGGGTGATGATGGTGTGTGGGTGATGATGGTGTGTGGGTGATGATGGTGTGTGGGTGATGATGGTGTGTGGGTGATGATGGTGTGTGGGTGATGATGGTGTGTGGGTGATGATGGTGTGTGGGTGATGATGGTGTGTGTGGGTGATGATGGTGTGTGTGGGTGATGATGGTGTGTGGGTGATGATGGTGTGTGTGTGTGTGTGTGATGATGTTGTGTGTGTGTGTGTGTGTGTGTGATGATGATGGTGTGTTTGTTTGTGTGATGGTGATGATGATGGTGTGTTTGTTTGTGTGATGGTGATGATGATGGTGTGTTTGTTTGTGTGATGGTGATGATGGTGGTGATGATGATGGTGTGGGTGTGTGATGGTGTGTGTGTGTGTGTGTGTGATGATGGTGTGTGTGTGTGTGTGTGTGATGATGATGGTGTGTTTGTTTGTGTGATGGTGATGATGATGGTGTGTTTGTTTGTGTGATGGTGATGATGATGGTGTGTTTGTTTGTGTGATGGTGATGATGATGGTGTGTTTGTTTGTGTGATGGTGATGATGGTGGTGATGATGATGGTGTGGGTGTGTGATGGTGTGTGTGTGTGTGTGTGTGATGATGGTGTGTGTGTGTGTGTGTGTGATGATGATGGTGTGTTTGTTTGTGTGATGGTGATGATGATGGTGTGTTTGTTTGTGTGATGGTGATGATGATGGTGTGTTTGTTTGTGTGATGGTGATGATGATGGTGTGTTTGTTTGTGTGATGGTGATGATGGTGGTGATGATGATGGTGTGGGTGTGTGATGGTGTGTGTGTGTGTGTGTGTGATGATGGTGTGTGTGTGTGTGTGTGTGATGATGATGGTGTGTTTGTTTGTGTGATGGTGATGATGATGGTGTGTTTGTTTGTGAGTCGCTCTCAGTGAATCGCTCTGAGTCGTTCTCAGTGAATCGCTCTGTTGAGTCGCTCTCAGTGAATCGCTCTGAGTCGTTCTCAGTGAATCGCTCTGTTGAGTCGCTCTCAGTGAATCGCTCTGAGTCGTTCTCAGTGAATCGCTCTGTTGAGTCGCTCTCAGTGAATCGCTCTGTTGAGTCGCTCTCAGTGAATCGCTCTGTTGAGTCGCTCTCAGTGAATCGCTCTGTTGAGTCGCTCTCAGTGAATCGCTCTGTTGAGTCGCTCTCAGTGAATCGCTCTGTTGAGTCGCTCTCAGTGAATCGCTCTGTTGAGTCGCTCTCAGTGAATCGCTCTGTTGAGTCGCTCTCAGTGAATCGCTCTGTTGAGTCGCTCTCAGTGAATCGCTCTGTTGAGTCGCTCTCAGTGAATCGCTCTGTTGAGTCGCTCTCAGTGAATTGCTCTCTCTGCGTCTGGTTGTGTGTTGCAGGTGAGCGAGATCATCAGGAAGCTGTCGTCGTGTTCGTCTCTGCTGGTGAGTTTTCTGGGAGAGCTGGTGGAGAAGTTCTGTCACTCTCTGAAGTGGTCCGGTCGTCAGGCGTTCGCCTTCATCTGTCAGGTGAGCCGTGCTCCTCATCTTCATCTTCATCAGGGTCACGTGTTGAGTGCGGCTCCTGACGTGTCGTCTCTGCTCAGTTGTCCATAGAGGAGGAGTGTCTGTCTCTGGACCAGTTCTCGGAGCATCTTCTTCCTCCTCTTCTTCAGCTGGCGTCTGATCCGGTGGCTAACGTCCGTGTGCTGCTGGCCAAAACCCTGCGGCAGACGCTGCTGGAGCGAGGTGCGTCCGCATCAGTGACGCATTACTCTCTGCTCTTTCACTTTTTTGCTTAAGTTTTTTCTTTTTCATTTAATTTTCCCATATTATTCATTTTAGTTTTTCTTTAGTTTCCCCTCTTTATTTTGACTTTTGATTTTTTCATATTTTAAAATTTGTTTTTCATCATTTTTCATTCTTGTTTTTGTTTACTTTTTCATCTTTTTAATTCTATTACTTATGTTTTGTCCCAATGTTCTTTTTATTTCTTTCTAGATCTTTTTATCTTCGCTTGTCTTAATTTTTTATCCCTTCTATATTTTTACTTTTAGTACTTTTTTCTCTTTTTATTTTCATTTATTTTTTAATTAAATAAAAAATTGTTTTACTATTTAAATTCTTTCTTTGTGCCTTTTTTCTTATTTCCCCCTTCTCTCCTTTATTTATTTGTTTGTATTTTTGTTCTGCACTGCAAAAAAAGATTTTCTTATTATTTTTGTGTAGTTTTCTAGGATAAATGTCTAAACATTCTTGAATCAAGATGCATTTACTTGACAAGTAACATGACTTAAGATATATATATATATAAGATTAAAAATGTTGTAAGCCTTTGCCTAAAACAAGCACAATATTTTTGTGTAGTTTTCTAGGATAAATGTCTAAACATTCTTGAATCAAGATGCATTTACTTGACAAGTAACATGACTTAAGATATATATATATATAAGATTAAAAATGTTGTAAGCCTTTGCCTAAAACAAGCACAAATATCTGCCAATGGAGTAAGAAAAATAATCTTCATTCAAAAGCTAAACGAGTATTTTTCGTGCTCCATTGGCAGATATTTGTGCTTGTTTGAAATAACATAATTTTGATCATTTTTTCAGAAAATAAGACTTAATATCTCGAGTAATTTTACTTGTAAAGTAAATGAATGTTGATTCAAGAGTTCTTAGTATTTGTCTTGTTTTCCAGTATAAATCTGTAAGTAAGGAAATGGCTGGTGTGTTCTCTCTGCAGAGTATTTTCTGAGCGCGCTGAACTGTCAGCAGGTAGCGCTGGAGCACACACTCGTCTCGCTGCAGACAGACGTGGATAAAGACGTCAAGTACTTCTCCAGCGTTCACCCCGGCAGCACGCGTCTGAACGAGGACGCCATGAGCAGCACGTCCTCCACCTACTGACCTGCTGTCCCAGAATGCACCTCTCTGATTTCACCACAGAAGCCTTAATCACGTCTTCCTTCTCCAGAGAACACTTGACCGGCTGCAGACTGATCTCAAGGGCTGAGCGTCGCTCTTTTAATTGCAGCACATTGTTGCGCTGGCGTTTCGTTTCTCGTGTTTTTAACCGATCTCACGAGCTGAACGTTGGATCTCAGATGACTGGAGAGTTTTAATGATTCTGTACATACTGCAGTGTTTTTGATCATGGATAGCGCTAATGTTATTCTCTTAATCTGCCCAATAAAGTTTCACACACAATCACTGCTGTTGTTAATGAAAACACTACCTTTGGGTTTACTCATGTAAACTAATGAAAGCAGGTGAAATGTGTTCAAAGTGTTCAGGAACGGGTCTTTGTTTCGAGAACTGTGTGAATGATTCGGATGAAATGATTAGCATTTTTATATATTTTTACATCTTTTTATTGGTGGAAATGATCAAGGGACAAAAACATGAATTCTGTGTGTTTGTTTTCAATAGGGATGCACGATATATCGGCCACCATATCGGTATCGGCCGATAAATGCTCATTTTTTCTGTTATCGGTATCGGCCTGATAAGAAAATTTGGCCGATATCTTAAAGCCGATAAATAATGCATTATTTCCTTCAGAGACACTTTAGATGCACGCTGTTCGTTTGCAGCCTTTTGTGCAATTGTATGTTGTAATATTGTGTTTATTTGATGTATATCTGATTTATCTCATATAGAATGCGTTTGGTTAAGTTAAGAGCGCTTCAGTTTACCGGTGATCATCTTTAGCTCAGCACACGCAGCTCAAACAGCAGTGCACAACATTAATAACTATGATTGGGAATGTCGTGTATATAACATTCTAATGAGAACATTATTATAATAAAACGTTGTGCATTCTTTGGGTTTAGTTGCTGTGTTTCAGCGCGTTGTTATGGGAAGAGCGCATCCACAACAGGATCACACATTCTGACTATAGCATGCAATAACTGCGTCATTTTGTACATATATAAGTTGTAATATTATGTTTATGTTGTATTAATATTAATCTCAGGATGCATTTCCTTGAGTTAAATAAGCTGCCAGCAAAACGCTTCAGTTTACCGTGTTCATTCAGCTCTTCAGCTTCAGCACGTGCAGCTCAACGGCTGCTATTTAAAACAGTGGTATTAATTTGTTACTTTTTCAAAATCATTGATACATTATTAATAACAACAACCACTTGTATTTTTCTCTTATTATTTTCATCAACAATATGGTTTAGTAATTAAAATCATTTAATTATTGTCCGTGCAGAGGCTATTCTGTTTTATTGATCTGTGGCGCATTCATTTTGATTCTTTACACGTGTAATGATGTCCAGTGACTTGTTTGCATTATTTATGCATAATTTTATTTATTTGTAAGACTTTTTTATGACTAAATTTGGTAATGGGAGAGTAAAAATATTTTTAAAACGTACACCGTTCAAACTAGGCTGCTTATGTTAAAGTGTTTGGGATGTGGCTTTTAATGATGAGACCTTTTTTGTAATCAGGCTACTAAAAAGTATATAACAATTTGGATATAGATTTATCGGCCAACATATCGGTTATCGGCTTTCAAAAATAAAGAATAATCGGTTATCGGTATCGGCCAAAATTTTCATATCGGTGCATCCCTAGTTTTTAACCCTTTAATAACCAGCTTTCCTAAAGCCTGAACTGATGAATACGACAGCTGGACAAAGTGGTGTGTTAATGTAATGCTACTTTATATACTAATACAGTTTCAAATGTAAAGTTGCATAAATGAACATTAATGCTTTATGAGCAAACATGAACTAATAATGAACAATAGTATATGAATAAATCAAAATGAATCTAGATCAAAGATTCATTAACTTTTTTTCTCAGAGCTGCAATATTTTCTTGAAGTTCCCCTGGGAGTTTAATGTGTTGAGATGTTTAATATTTCAGTAATTTAATACATTTTTCAGTTCTCCGATGACCTTTAATGGTCACGTTATTGATCTGAACTGAACACTGGATTCGTTCACTTATTTATCAATATGAACCGCATCAGATGAGAACAGAACCTGAATGAATCAAGCTGGATGATGATGATGATGATGATGATGATGCTTTACAGCTGGATCTCATCCTGCAGCAGTTTTTGTACTGATTCAACTCTGAACTGATTCAACTCTGAACTGGCTCAACACTGAACTGGCTCAACACTGAACTGGCTCAACACTGAACTGATTCAACTCTGAACTGATTCAACACTGAACTGATTCAACACTGAACTGATTCAACACTGAACTGATTCAACACTGAACTGATTCAACTCTGAACTGACTCAAACTGAACTGACTCAAACTGAACTGATTCAACACTGTACTGATTCAACTCTGAACTGACTCAAACTGAACTGATTCAACACTGAACTGACTCAAACTGAACTGACTCCAACTGAACTGATTCAACACTGAACTGATTCAACACTGAACTGATTCAACTCTGAACTGACTCAAACTGAACTGATTCAACACTGTACTGATTCAACTCTGAACTGACTCAAACTGAACTGATTCAACACTGAACTGACTCAAACTGAACTGATTCAACACTGAACTGATTCAACTCTGAACTGACTCAAACTGAACTGATTCAACACTGAACTGATTCAACTCTGAACTGGTCATTGCTGAACTGAACTCATATCATATTGATGAACTTCACACTCTTATCGATCTGATCTGAATGATGACTATTTTCTCACAGGTCTGTCGAATCTGAACTGACTCCATCAGTGATTCTGTAAAGCTGCTTTGAATCAGTCTGTACTGAAGAAAGCGCTATAGAAATAAATGCAACGACATGCAGATAAATAAGAGCAGCTTATCCTTGTTTCTATTGTTTTCCATTTATCATTTAAATTTTTAGGATTTAATAATCAGCTCATAAACCCCAGTTTCTAGATCTAGATTAATAAAGAAAAACTCTTAGTTTAGCTGCTCCTAAATATAATGTAGACACTTTAATGTTCTGTAAAGCTGCTTTGCAACGTTTCGTATCATGAAAAGCACTAAACAAATCAACATGAATAGAATTGAATAGTTTATAAAAGCAAATGCATTAACTCATGTTAACCACTGAACCATTTCTGAGAAGCATTCTTTCTATTTTCATCAAAGACTTCAAAATGAAAACACTAATTACAACAGAGTCAGTTTACAGTTTGATGAAAGATCATGAAACTATTGGTAACACTTTATTTTAATGTGTCCTTGCTACACGTTACATGTACTTACTTTTATAATAACAGCAATAAATTATGCATAATTACATGCAAGTAACCCTAAACCAAACCCTAACCATGTAGTTAATTAATATTACTCAGTACTTAACTTTTGTTTGTTTTACAGACCATGCACTAAACTGCGGTAACACTAGGAGCCTGTAAAGTGTTTGAGATCTGATCAAAGCTTTCTCAGCGAACGCTTGCGAGACAGACTCAATGAGCTCTTTGTGTCTCGGTGACAGCGTGAGGAAGAACCCATGCCTTCATTAAACCAAACACTCGTTAGCGACACATCAGACGATGCTTCACTGATTCTCTTCAACAGCAAACACAGACACTGCTCAGTTCTCTCTGGAAAAAACTGCAGACTTTATTCTTTACTGGCAGAGATTTTGCTGAAGACAAACTAAAGATTAAACTCGATATGAAATCAGTCGGTCTTAATAAAGACCTGGACTCATAATAAAAGCCGAATATGAACAATATGCATCTATTCTCTATCATGTTTGGCTACACGTCAGGAGGAGCTGTAAGGCGGGTTCAGAACAGGCAGTTCATGCAGCGGACGGCTTTGCTGCCGTAGTCGAGGCACTCGGGGCCGATGCACTCGCAGCAAGCGTTGTGGAACCAGCGGTACTTCGATCCCCCCATCGACTCGCAGTACTGCTTACACTGACGGATGGACACGCAGTCGTCCAAGTACACCACCGTACACAGCGTATCTGCACAGAGACCAGCAGAGAACAGCTTTAACCGCAGCAGCACAGCGAGTCTCTGACCGAGCTCAGGCTTCAGACCGCTCAGAAAACACAAGAAAACTCACGGCTGCAGCACAAAAACACAGCTGCTTCGTCATTTTTTAAAGCAAAAACCAGGCAACATTTAATGGGGAAAAATGCTAATTTTCTCTTTGATAAAAAAAAGTAAACCTAAAGCCTCACTTCATTAAAAAAATAATCATATATATTAGTGCTGTCAAACGATTGATCACATCCAAAATAAAAGTTTTGTTTAGCATACTATATGTGTGCTGTGTATATTTATGTATAGATACATACAGTATACATTTTGAAAATATTTACATGTATATATTTATATTGATATTAAATATATACACAACATATTTTTCAGTGTGTGTATTTATATATACATAATACATACACACACTTATTATGTAAACTAAAACTTTTATTTTGGATGCGATTAATTGTTTAATAGCACTAGTATAAATCAACTGAATAAAAAGTCCTGGAGGTGTAAAAAAACTAAAAAACTCAAAACTCGGGAGGATGTTCTGAAGATTCTGTAATAACTCATTAAAAATCCATGTTTATCAGTTGTTTACACTTAAAAGATTATATAAATAACTATAAACCTTCATCATTTTAAACGACTGGTTTCTCCTGTTAATTAAATATTACACTACCGGCTCAAAGGTTTTTTATGTTTTTGAGAGAAGTGTCTTTTGTTCACCCAGTCTGATTTATTTGAAATATTATTCTAATGTAAAACAGCTGTGTGAATCTCTGTTCAACTGTAATTGATTTCTGTGAGCAAAGCTGAATTTTTTAACTTTTCTGATTATTATCAGTGTTGAAAACAGTTGTGCTGCACAATATTAACTCTGATGCATTACCATTCAAAAGTCTGGAGTAAATTAATCCTAAACAAGGACGCATTAAATCGATCAAAAGTGTCAGTAAAGACATTTATAATGTTAGAAAAGATTTCTATTTCAAATAAATGCTGTTCTTCTGAACTTTCTGTTCATCTGTGAATCCTGAAAAATAAAATGTATCACAGTTTCCACAAAAATATTGTGCAGCACGACTGTTTTCAACATTGATAATAATCAGAAATGTTTCTCGAGCAGCAGATCAGCATATTATACTGATTTCTGAAGATCATGTGACACTGAAGACTGGAGGAATGATGCTGAAAATACAGCTGCGCATCACAGAAATACATTACAGTTTAACATATAATCACATAGAAAACAGCTGTTTTACATTAGAATAATATTTAAGATTTTGCTGTATTTTTGATGAAATAAACAGAGCCTTGCTGAGCAGAAGAGACTCTTCCAGAAACATGAATCATGATAATTACTCTAGTGTAAGTGTCAGACTGGTCTGGCGGTGTTTCCGGACACCTGCTGGACGTCTCATTAGCGTCTCGGCTCGGGGTCAGGAGGTCACGTCCTAACGAGTGAAGCTCAAGCTAACGAGGCTGTGAGCGCTGAAGCTCACCTTGCGTGTCGTAGCTGGCGTGGATGCTGTTGCCGGGCAGAGAGACGTTGTGGTGCGCGTCCTCCAGCGTCTCCAGGAAGGACAGCAGGTTCTGCTGATAGGACAGCTCTTCGGCCGCAGGGAAGGACACCACCAGCATGTTGATGGGAGCGTCTCCGTCGGTCAGCGCTCTGAAGAGCGAGGGGATCGGCCGCTGCAGCTCCTCCACCGTGCTCTTAGCCGTCGCCGGCGTGTCGCTCAAGTTCTTGGGGTTACACATGCCTGACATCAGAAACACGGCCAACACATCATGAGTCACGCAGACATACAGCACTTTCTGAAGATTTAAAAGACCCTTAAAAGCGTGAGTGTGTGAGAGTGTGAGTGTGTGTGTGAGTGAGTGTGTGTGTGAGTGAGTGTGCGCGAGTGTGTGTGTGTGATTCCTGCTGTTCTTACCCACACAGTCGCAGCACTCCTCCCACAGAGAACCCAAACACATCAGACACTCCTTACAGCACGAGCAGTTCCCATCCGACGGCCGGCACTGACACAGCTCCTGATCAACAACACATCTTCATCTTCATCTTCATCATCACAACACAGAGAACACAAGCACAGAACTGATCCAGCAACACCAAACAGCTCACAGCATTTAACATCTAGACACACAACAAGAAAAACCTTAATAATAATACCAATAAGGTAAAGAAACAGAAGCATATATATATGGCTCTTACAGGAAGCTTTTCAAACTAGATTTACAAAACACACTAACAGTGAGTCCACTGCACTGACACACGACTGAGAAAAATAACCACAAATATTATCCTAAAAAAACCTTTCATTGCCAAATGAGCTTCAGTGCCCCAAAAACTCTAATATATAATAAAACAATCAGACATGTGAACAGAGAAATGCACGGAGTGTGTGAGCAGGCAGTTTGATAAATATGATATATTGACATGCTGCAGCATCAGGAGATCATTCAGATTATGAAGCTGCTGCTGATTCACTGAACTTCAGCTTCCAGCTTCTGTTTCTTTGTGATGCTTCCAAACCAACAGAAAACACTGAGAATGAGAGACGCTTACCTGAATGAGACACTTGCTGACGTCACTGGCGCACAGAGCTTTATTACACGCCAAAGCCAGAGAAAAACTTGACAGAAGAAGAAACAACACTGAAGATGAAGATGAAGACGACGAAGGCTGCATTACGAACCGAACCGAACCGAACCTACAGGAGCAGACTAATGAGAGAGAGAGAGAGAGAGAGAGAGAGAGAGAGAGAGACGCAATAAACAAACAGCTCAAACATCAAAGACAAAGCGCGCCAGACCGACTGACTGAGCGGCGACATCAAAGACTCCGTGTGAAAGTATCGAGCACGTGTTACATGAAGCTCCAGCGGCACCGTCTGAAGACTCGAGGAGACTCAGAAGCTCCAGAAGTTTCTGTCAAACACAAGAAACACAAACTCACCGCGACGCAGTGAACACACAACCGCTGCAGATGATTTAAAACCCGATCAGACCAGACCTGAACTCAAGCAGACCGGACCAGACTAGACTGAACTACTGCTGTTGCTGCAGAGAGTTACTCTCTCTCTCTCTCTCACACACACACACTCTCTCTCTCTCTC